GACCATCATACTGGACCAACAGGCATGCATCATCATACTGGACCATCATACTGGACCAACAGGCATCATCATACTGGACCATCATTGCTGGACCAAAAAGAATCATCATACTGGACCATCATACTGGACCAACAAGCATCATCATACTGGACCAACAAGCATCATCATACTGGACCAACAGGCATGTATCATCATACTGGACCATCTTACTGGACCATCATACTGGACCATCATACTGGACCATCATACTGGACCATCATACTGGATTATTATTGCTGAACCAACATGCATGTATCATCATACTGGACCATCATACTGGACCATTATTGCTGGACCAACAAGCATGTATCATCATACTGGACCATCATACTGGATTATTATTGCTGAACCAACATGCATGTATCATCATACTGGACCATCATACTGGATTATTATTGCTGAACCAACATGCATGTATCATCATACTGGACCATTATTGCTGAACCAACATGCATGTATCATCATACTGGACCATTATTGCTGGACCAACATGCATGTATCATCATACTGGACCATCATACTGGACCATCATACTGGACCATCATACTGGATTATTATTGCTGTCCCAACATGCATGTATCATCATACTGGACCATCATACTGGACCATCATACTGGACCATTATTGCTGGACCAACAAGCATGTATCATCATACTGGACCATCATACTGGACCATCATACTGGATCATTATTGCTGGACCAACAAGCATGTATCATCATACTGGACCATCATACTGGATTATTATTGCTGAACCAACATGCATGTATCATCATACTGGACCATCATACTGGATCATTATTGCTGGACCAACAAGCATGTATCATCATACTGGACCATCTTACTGGACCATCATACTGGATCAACAGGCATGCCTGGCCATACTGGACCATCATACTGGACCAACAGGCATGAATCATCATACTGGACCGTCATTCACTAATACATTTCTTGAGCTTTCATTGGTTAAAAAAAAAAGAATAACAGACTGCTGCTCTTCTTTGGTGCATATTGAAATTGGGTTAGCCATCTTTAAAACGTCATTAAGACATCACTGTGTTTGTCAGCACTGTGATGTATGTGGTGTCACACACTTAACACTCTTGACATCTGTAACAAAAATAAAGACAGGTTACATGACAGTGACATAGTCATTATAATTTCTATGACAATTTTAAGGCTTTCATGTGAAGCCTCCTGTTATATGTTTGTAAACCTGCCTTTGGATAAAAGTCGTATGTAGTTAACCCAAGCAGCTAGAAGGTGACAATGTTACTGATGTGTTGGCAGTTTGTGCAGTATCTACTCTTTCAATGCAGATCCTGGTTGGTCTAGAAAAGTTGTTCAAACTGACCTGTCAAGGACTTCACCCTTGACTTCTGCTGTACTCTTGACTTCTGCTGCACTTGAGGTCAGAGTTCAAGTAGCTTTGTTCTCCTGAAGCCTAATTAAGCCTTTAGTCATGAAGATTACAGCTTGAGGTCAAAGGTGAAATGAATGCTATTAAACTGAGTCACTGTGAATATATGAGTGATGCATTTGATAAATAACTCTTTGTAAACTCAAAGTTATTTTATGCACTGGGATCACAGATTGTGGACATGAATGTAGTAATATTTGCAGTCTGTTTGCATTAGTAAATAAACAAATATTTTTATTTAATATCAATAACAGTTAATAATAGATCATCATCATTATCACATAGCAGGTTTTTTTTGGGGGGCATTACTTTCTGTGTGGGTTTTTGACCCCATTGTGCTGCAACAACAGAATATACCCACTGCCTCCCTCCACCCACCAGCCTATAAAAAGCATGCAATGAAATTGAATAATTAGGGATGATTCCTTAAAAGTCGAGTTCACATGCCTGAGAGGCTACAAGCCAGCAGTCTGCATACAAATATGCCAGATTTGTGAAACAGATATATATGCAAAAATCAAGTTCTGGAACGAGATGAAAGTCCAGATATGGATGAGCATCCAAAACTTTCTGCCAGAGTTTATGCCCCTTGTGGGATTCAATGGTTTGTTATTTGAAGCCTCACTCTGGTTTCTGCCGGGGGCCCTGAATAAATATGGCCTAATGGCTGAAAGGGGTTTCTGGGACTTCTCCACGGGTGATCCTCATCTGCATGGTGGCACTTTGTGTCACTGGGTGTTTATTGCTAGTGTGTGATGTCCTTTTGGGGTACAACGAGAGAGAGAGAGAGAGAGAGAGAGAGAGAGAGAGAGAGAGAGAGAGAGAGAGAGAGAGAGTCAAAGTTTATGGCCAGTGAACGTGAAAAAGAAGATTTTGCAGGTTGTTTTTCTCATCACAGCACACTGGCAGATTGGAAAAATCCCTTGCTTCCGGCTAATTTTCCTACCTTGTGAATATTTGTGCCCTCGACAGCCTGGGTCTATTATCTGCTGGTCAGTCTCTGCCTTTTCTTCTGAGAATCATTTCCTGTATTACCGTTCTGTCCAGACCATAGTGGCATTTAATATGGCTGAAGTATTCAGATCATGGTGAATAATTGATATTAGAAACAAATAATTAAAAAACTTGACAAAATAACTTTTCTAGAAACATCAGATCATTAATTTTTTTTTTCTTTTTAAACATTTATTAACAATATAATCCACAAACATATCCATTGAGCATTTATTTAAAACAAGTCAGCAAAAACCAATAGGAAAAACATATCTGCTATTGTCAGGGCTTTATCTTAGGACAAATGTTGCTGGTACTCAGCACAAAGTGTCTAAAAAGGAGCCAGTACTCAGCACAAAGTTTCTAAAAAGGAGCCAGTACTCATCACAAAGTGTCTAAAAAGGAGCCAGTACTCAGACCAAAGTGTCTAAAAAGTTGCTGGTACTCAGCACAAAGTGTATAAAAAGTTGCTGGTACTCAGCATAAAGTGTCTAAAAAGGTGCAAGTACCCAGCACAAAGTGTCTAAAAAGGTACGGGTACTCAGCACAAAGTGTCTAAAAAGGTGCAAGTACCCAGCACAAAGTGTCTAAAAAGTTGCTGGTACTCAGCACAAAGTGTCTAAAAAGGTGCAAGTACCCAGCACAAAGTGTCTAAAAAGGTACGGGTACTCAGCACAAAGTGTCTAAAAAGGTACGGGTACTCAGCACAAAGTGTCTAAAAAATTGCTGGTACTCAGCACAAAGTGTCTAAAAAGGAGCCAGTACTCAGCACAAAATGTATAAAAAGTTGCTAGTACTCAGCACAAAGTGTCTAAAAAGGTGCAAGTACCCAGCACAAAGTGTCTAAAAAGGAACGGGTACTCAGCACAGTGTGTCTAAAAATGTGCAAGTACCCAGCACAAAGTGTCTAAAAAGGTACGGGTACTCAGCACAATGTGTCTAAAAAGGTACGGGTACTCAGCACAAAGTGTCTAAAAAGGTGCAAGTACTCAGCACAGTGTCTAAAAAGGTGCAAGTACCCAGCACAAAGTGTCTAAAAAGGTATGGGTACTCAGCACAAAGTGTCTAAAAAGCTGCTGTTTATCACTGCAAAGTGTCTATTACAACAGCACTAAAAAAAACAATGATGCCTAAGTAAAGGTGATGGTACTGTGCACTGTTGCATGCCTTGGCTATCATCAGTATAATCACAACTACAGCCTCCCAAACATGTTCCATTTAAACACGTAACTAAATGATATCAGTGAAACATGTCATCAGCCTCACACTGTCTTCTGCTCTGTAGGCTGGAAAGAAAACACACCGCAGCAGTCCTAGAGGGTGTTACAGAGGGTCAGAATGACCGAGCGTCGCCGTGACAAGAAATATGAGGTGGAGTTGAATGAGCAGAGAAATCAACACTTTGACAGAAAATCTGCTAACAATGGTGGTGACCATAGCAATGGTAAGGACAGGGATGATGTAAACAATAGGAAGCGACATCCTACTCAAGAATCTGAGGTTTGTTTGTCAAATTTTGATGATTCTGTCATGTTTTAGATAAACAGTTTTTCAAGTTTTAATGATTGCATCATGTTTTATGTAAACAGCATTCAAGATTGGATTATGCTTGTCCTGTCAGTCTATGGAGCCAGTCAGTAATGTCTGAAATGGAATTTCTTAAACTCTTGTGTAACTCCAAGCAGATTTTATTCCTTAGTTTGATTACATTTCCATGTCAATGATGCAGAGTTGTTGAAATATCCAAAATAAATGAGCTTTTTCATTATCTCCTTTTTCCATTGACAGTAGTAAATATTTACATTTATGTTAGGATGTCACACATATTGGATAGCAGGTGACTTTATAACTATCATCAGTCAGCAGGACCTTTACAGAGTGTTGCTCTCCTGAAAGTCTCTCATTATTTAGCTAATTCTCCAGCCCTATGTGCTTTTATAACCATTGCATCTTCATTGTCTTGTATCTACCTTTACGGAGGTCTCCTTCTGCCTTGTTTTCCAGATAATGAGCCCTCCAGACTACCTTGATGTTTAACAAGGCTAAAATATCGCAGTCTTCTGGTCGTAATGCTGTTAGTGAGGGAAATCTCCTCAAGGCTGTATTTATCTTCCTCTTGGCCCATAGCATTCTGGTGTCACCAACTGGAGAAAGAAGGCCAACCAGAGACATGAATGGAGGCAGGTGATATCTGCAGCAATGATCCTCAAGGGCTCGGAATGCTGAAGAAGAAGAAGAAGATTAAATTGTAACTTTGTAACCAATAAGATGGCTTAGTATTACTGTTTTATATGTTTGAACAAGTCATCCGCAATGTGCTCTTGTTGGATTTGCCTCTAAAAAGTTTCTTTTTGAGTAACTCAATGTCTAACTTTCAGGCTACCTGGTAACAGGGAGGACAATCAAAACAAAACAAAACAAACAAAAATGAATATCTGTTAGAGGTGTTCTGTATTGTCATCTGTGCCACAGGTGTCACTTGGAAGCTTGGAAGAATACATCCCCACACCTCCAGATGGAGGATGGGGCTGGGTGATCGTCTTTGCTTCCATGATGTGTAACTTGATAGTGGATGGTATTGGATACAGCTTTGGAGTCTTCCTCTCCGAGTTTGTTGATGCTTTCAAGGTTTGTGAAATTTCTCATAAAAAAAGAAAAAAAGATATACACATTTTCATAAATTAAATGAAATATTGTCACATAAATTATGTTTACTTTCATACATTTTTTCACAACATTGGCTTGACTGATAACTTGCTATGCCGGAAGCACTGACATCAAACATTTGTAGCTAATTAGATTGTTCAGTCAACCACCAAGAATATCAGCAGGAATGTTTCCACAGAGAATAATGCAGTTCATTATAGTTAGATAAGAACAAATGGTCAGTCATAAAAACATTTGATGGAAGCAGAAAAGACTGCAAGCACGACCTGGTGCACTCAAGCACCCACCACCATCCCACTCCTTTTTTTCCTCTTTTTTTTTAGTATAGAACTAATCATGTTAATAATATATGAAGGCAGCAAATAAAAGGTCTGCACACTTCAAGAGAATGTCATGTGAGGAAATAACAAACAAACCCTATGCCAAAAGAGTAGAGGGATGTAGTGCATCAGGTAGACCATGAAAACAATGGAAAATAACATCAGAGAAACTTTATAGCAGCAAGATGTGACTGGCTGAGGTGGCCAGAGGCAAGAAACAGAACCTTGTTTATCTCTCAACAACCAATGCAGTAAAAGAGGAAGTGGAAAACTAGAGGCAGAAGAAGAAGAAGTAGAAAAAAAGAAGGAGAAAGAAGAAGAAGAAAAAAAAAAGGAGGAGGAGGAGAAAAAGAAGAAGGAGAAGGAGGAGTTAGAAGAAGAAGAAGCATCAATGCAGACTTCAATAAGCTGATTTACAACAGAGCATTTAGTGTTCTCATTATTCCACACACATGCTAATAATTTCATTTATCCCCACCTAAGTGTTAACAACTGTTTATCATATAAATATTAGTCGATTAATTTATCAACGTTCGATTAATTTATCAACGTTATAAGTCCGCACATGCATCAAGGTACTGCTATGTTTGCTCACTTACCAACACAAAGTCTGGGGTTCAGTTCTTAGTACTGGCAGTTTATTTGTAAGCCCATCCAGTACAAGTCTAGTTTCACCAGGTCATGAGAAACATTCATTTCAGGGAAGGAAATCTGGTGAGGAATAGGACTGCCCATTTTGTATCGTTATACTTTTAACTGAGCAGATCTCTTTCAGTACCAGAAGAAAGTTTCACTGCAGGTTGTTGTGTGTTGTTTGTCCATCACAAGTGATGATGATGACCACTTTTAATCCAAGTAGCAATGATCAGTGATTGTGAGTACGAAAATGACTGATTAGTCCAAAATAATCCTGGAAAGTTCTTGAGCAGTGCGGACAACAGGTGAAAGCTGCTGTTAAGTGTGGGATTAGCGATAGGTTCTTTCCAGTCTGCCCCCATTTCTATGCCTGTGCAATCTCAGCTGCCTGGCAGGCTGATGCTCCATGCTTGAAGTATGTACGCCATCCAGTGTGCTTCTGTGCACAGCTTCCCATATTACTGTGTTGATGCCAAAGAATTGAGAGCAATTTTGAGAGTGTCCATAATGCTCTTTTTGTGTCCACCTCGTAGGTAGTGCCAGTAAAAAAAATTATCTGTGATCAAAATTCAACATTGCGTTACTTTTAAGACAGTAATATAGTCCATATTTTTAAGTGTGTTCTGACCAAATAAAAAAGGTAAGAGAATATATAAAGCCAGGAACATAATTCTGCAGATAGAATGATTCACACATCATGCATTTTTTAGGACTTTAAAAAAAAAAACAATGCTATTGACATGCTAAAAGCTGAATCAGTAAATAACCTTCTATACCAAGTTTCATTTGGTTGTTGCTTTGCTTCCATCTGCAGGAGCCCAAGAGTAAGGTGTCACTGGTTGGGTCACTCCTTTGTGGTACATACCTGTTTGCTGGTATGTTTTTATGTCTTTACCCCTTTGTTTTTATTCTTTCTGTTCCATGATATGTTTATCTTTATTCCATTACTTACCTTTTTGCTTGTAAGTTATATGTATGTGTTTACTCATCTGTTTTCTGAAGATATATATATTTTTTTTAAATCGTTGCCTATTTGGTTGTATAATATTACTAGATTTAATTAGCTGACTTCACCCAGGAGAGTGAAAGAAAGTTTCATTCTTATCTTAGTCTCCACAGCTGGTCTCCACAGCTGGTCTCCACAGCTGGTCACCACAGCTGGTCTCCACGGCTGGTCTCCACAGCTAGTCTCCACAGCTGGTCTCCATAGCTAGTCTCCATGGCTGGTCTCCACAGCTGGTCTCCACGGCTGGTCTTCACAGCTGGTCTCCACGGCTGCTGTATATGTAGTAGAAACTCCAAGTTTCTCTTGAACACCCTTGTTTCCTAAACCTAGCGAGCACAACATAAGCCTCCCATCTTTAAGTTTCTCTTGCACACCCTTGTTTCCTAAACCTAGCGAGCACAACATAAGCCTCCCATCTTTAAGTTTCTCTTGGACACCTTTGTTTCCTAAACCAAGCGAGCACAACATAAGCCTTCCATCTCTAAGTTTCTGTTGAACACCCTTGTTTCCTAAATCTATCCATGTCCCACTGCAGTGCTTGTCTGGTGACTCTTCTGATTTTCTGCAACAAATACATTTTTACAGTATGTGGGACCTGGACCTTGAGTCACAGCTCGAGGTGGAGTGGTAGGGGTATTCTTGACCAGTTCTTCTGAGATGTAGTGCTACTGCCACTTTAGCACCCGTTGGAATGAAGGAGCAGTGACTTGGGTTGTGACTCAGTCTCCCTAAATCTGACTGATAATGCAACATCCTCCTATAATGCCCCTATCTTACTGTCTCAGTTTTAAGGGAGATAACAGTGAAATGTAATTAAAAAAATTAATATAAGGGATGTGAAAGGAAACAATATTCATAGGTACATAACTTCAGTGAAAATTTATTTTTACTGATTCTCACACTAAATATCATTTCATTTCATTTATAGAGATTGGCGTGAAATAGGTTTTATTAAGAAAATATTGACATTAATTAGGTTTATTTAGTAACACTGACATTAATTAGGTTTGATTTAGTAACATTTACATTAATTAAGTTTGATTTAGTAACATTTACATTAATTAAGTTTGATTTAGTAACATTGACATTAATTAAGTTTGATTTAGTAACATTGACATTAATTAAGTTTGATTTAGTAACATTTACATTAATTAAGTTTGATTTAGTAACATTTACATTTATTAATTTTGATTTAGTAACATATACATTAATTAAGTTTGATTTAGTAACATTGACATTAATTAAGTTTGATTTAGTAACATTGACATTAATTAAGTTTGATTTAGTAACATTGACATTAATTAAGTTTGATTTAGTAACATTTACATTAAATAAGTTTGATTTAGTAACATTGACATTAATTAAGTTTGATTTAGTAACATTGACATTAATTAAGTTTGATTTAGTAACATTGACATTAATTAAGTTTGATTTAGTAACATTGACATTAATTAGTTTTGATTTAGTAACACTGACATTAATTAGGTTTGATTTAGTAACATTTACATTAATTAGTTTTGATTTAGTAACATTTACATTAATTAAGTTTGATTTAGTAACATTTACATTAATTAAGTTTGATTTAGTAACATTAACATTAATTAAGTTTGATGTAGTAACATTGACATTAATTAAGTTTGATTTAGTAACATTTACATTAATTAGTTTTGATTTAGTAACACTGACATTAATTAGGTTTGATTTAGTAACATTTACATTAATTAGGTTTGATTTAGTAACATTTACATTAATTACGTTTGATTTAGTAACATTTACATTAATTGAGTTTGATTTAGTAACATTTACATTAATTAGTTTTGATTTAGTAACATTTACATTATTTAAGTTTGATTTAGTGACATTGACATTAATTAAGTTTGATTTAGTAACATTGACATTAATTAAATTTGATTTAGTAACATTTACATTAATTAAGTTTGATTTAGTAAAATTTACATTAAATAAGTTTGATTTAGTAACATTGACATTAATTAAGTTTGATTTAGTAACATTTACATTAATTAAGTTTGATTTAGTAACATTTACAATAATTAAGTTTGATTTAGTAACATTGACATTAATTAAGTTTGATTTAGTAACATTTACATTAATTAGTTTTGATTTAGTAACACTGACATTAATTAGGTTTGATTTAGTAACATTTACATTAATTAGTTTTGATTTAGTAACACTGACATTAATTAAGTTTGATTTAGTAACACTGACATTAATTAGGTTTGATTTAGTGACACTGACATTAATTAAGTTTGATTTAGTAACATTGACATTAATTAAGTTTGATTTAGTAACACTGACATTAATTAAGTTTGATTTAGTAACATTTACATTAATTAGTTTTGATTTAGTAACACTGACATTAATTAGGTTTGATTTAGTAACATTTACATTAAATAAGTTTGATTTCTGGTAATCTGGTAATCTGGTAATCCTAGTTTCAGCATCATAGCAAACGGGTCACCCCATTGTTGCTCCGCTCCTGTGCCAACGAAAAACACTCGTAGCTCACAGTGTCACACCATGCACTCAACTCAGAAGCTGGGTGACGAAACCATATCCTTCCAGTCTACAAATGGAGCAAAAATGCAACGGCCACCGCCTGGCAGAACTGCCACGGCTAACAAAAAAAAAAAAAACAAAAAAAAAGTGGCCGTGCCTAGTGTCCACTGTGACTTGAAGCATTATGTGAGGGGTTAACAAATGGTCACCCCAGCAGTACCCTCACTATTAGCTGGGAAAGGGACTTAGGACATTACATCCACCAGCAGGCGTCGCCCCTACAACGACCTGACTGCCTTCGTTAACGACTGTTCACCCAACAGCCATGCAGTTCTTTGGCACGAAGGAGACACCTTGAACTTGGGTTTTGGAATGCCGACTTCCTACAAAATGTTATTTTGTGTTTTGTTATCACAATCGACGTCACTGCACATTGGGCATACCCATGCGTGCGCAGTCCTCCGAAGCAGCAGCCACTCCAAAGTACTTCTACTAATTGTCCCCATGAGAAGCTGGTTATATTGTCTCCTTTCTCGGCCTCGCAGACGGCAAAGACGTGCTTCACCATGCTTAACTCCCATGTCACGCAATCGTGTTAGTGTCAGGGATTCGATATTATCCACTAGCCCAGTACGTACAGCGTTAACGATATCTGCTCTGTCCATGCTTTTTCCCGCAATCATTAGTGCTGTGCTTGCCAGTTGGTCCGCTCGCTCATTTCCCTTTACGCCCGCATGACCCGGTGTGTAGATCCAGGTTACGGAAGTTAAGTGCGATTTCCGAATGCTTTCTATCCATTCAGAGCGCATACTGCCAGTTGCTATTTTCTGAAGCATATTCATTGAGTCTGAGACAATTACTGCTTGTGTGGCGGTTTGCTCGGATACCCATGCTAAAGCTCTAGAAGCAGCGGCTATTTCCATGGTCATGCTTGACGTGGTTGTCTGGTAAGCGCCGCTATCTTCATGTATTGTTTTCCCCCTTCTTTGCGCTGTGTATGCCCATGCTGACCTTGATCCGCGCTTCACGGACCCATCTGTGTAGATGATGATATCTTCTGGGTCTGAATGCTGATCTATCAGTTCCCTTACTTTTGTGTCTATGGCCGCAGGAATCTGATCCCGACAGTACCTTCCTAGTGTGATGACAACCTTAGAGATGCCATGCATGTCTACTGGTGTATTCATCCATTCTTTTCCGTGCCTGATAACGCGTAGGTCACATACCTGCTGGATCAAATTCTCAGCCTTTGCCATCCAAGAGCAGCCTCTTTTGAGACGCGTTCCTTTTGTGTCGTATATATCTTTGTGCAATGGGTGGTTAGCGTCTGCCGATACCCTCATGTAAGCCTTGACTTGTGCCACTTTGTATCTACTAGTCATCGTCGGCAAACCCAGGACATAACGCATGGCGTTGCAGGAGGTGTCTTTTGTGCAGCCGAGTATGAGTCTCATGGCCTCATTTTGTACTCGGTCCAGTCTTTCTAGCTGGGTTTTGCTGACAGTGATGAGGCCAAGACCATAGTCAATGACGCTAAGCACAAGCCCTTGATAGAGAAGGAAAAGTAGGCGTTGTTCAATATCAGCTGCTGCTAGCACCTTGAGTGCTGTCAGACCTTTTCTGGCTCTAAGTATGACGTTGTCTACGTGGCATTTGTATGACAAGCATCTGTCAAATGTCATACCCAGGTATTTCATGGTGTCCGTTCTCTCGATGTCCACACCACATATGCTTACGATTAAGTTTGATTTAGTAACAATAATTTGGTTTGATTTAGTAGCATTTACATTAATTAAGTTTGATTTAGTAACATTTACATTAATTAGTTATGATTTAGTAACATTGACATTAATTAAGTTTGATTTAGTAACATTGACATTAATTAGTTTTGATTTAGTAACATTGACATTAATTAAGTTTGATTTAGTATCATTGACATTAATTAGTTTTGATTTAGTAACATTGACATTCATTAGGTTTGATTCAGAAAATATGAACCTGTTTTTACTTTTACAGGTCCTGTTGTGAGTGCTATGACCAATAAATATGGCTGCCGTCCTGTTGTTATTGCTGGCAGCTGTATTGCCACAGTGGCTTTTATCCTGGCCACTTTCTCACCAAATATTGAGATAATGATGCTGACTTATGGAGTTCTTGGTGGTAAGTTTGTAATCTGCTATTATCCTGGCCACTTTCTCACCAAACATTGAGATAATGATGCTGACTGATGGAGTTCTTGGTGGTAAGTTTGTAATCTGCTTTTATCCTGGCCATGGTCTCACCAAATATTGAGATAATGATGCTGGCTTATGGAGTTCTTGGTGGTAAGTTTATAATCTGCTCTTCATTACTGTGAAAGAAATTAATAGTTGGTGTAAATTATACCACTCATTACTGATATTATAAAGGCTATTAGAATGCAAGAGCTTGGGCAGATAGGAAGAAAGGCAGGTAATAGAAAGACACAATCTGAGTTAAGTTGAGTCAAGAATTGACATCAGTGCACTTGGGACATTTCCATGTGTGCTCCGTCCTCATCTTCAGCAGCCAGTGCAGAGTTCCAGTACTAATGGTACCAGTCGTAATCTGGTTACATGTCCGTCTTGCATTTCCTCTAAGTTTAGTTAGCAAGCCAGACCCCCTGGTTACACCGAGATGTCTAATTCTCTCCAGGCCATAACAATCTTGTTTCGCTTCTGACTCTGTTGCTTGTTTCCAGATGGCCCTGACCATATCTGCCTTGCAATGTATCACTTCACCACCCAGTGGTGCAGATCCAGCCAATCTGTCTGCCTATTTATTCCCCAGCACGCCGCCAGCATGGCCTGGAGAAAAGATACAAAGTATGCTTCCCAGTGAAGCTTGCCACTCTGCTCGAAGCATTCCTGTCTTCACCTTTCTCAGCATGCTTTCAGAGTCTGTTACAATTATGACATCTTGTTCTCTAGCTACCTGAAAGCTGCAGTTACCGCCTCCACCTCCATTCTCATGCTAGACGCTGTGGTATCATATTCTAGGCTGTCCTGCATTAAAGATTTTTCACTGGCTTTCGCTACGAACTCCAAGCCACTTTTCTTCCCTCTCAAAACCGAACGATCTGTATAGATAATCAGATCATCTGGGAGAGAATTGTCGTGAATCAACTGTTGGGCTTCCCCCTCCGTAGCACCCGCTGGCCACTCTCTGTGTCTTCTGCTTGTGTCATCCAGGACTTTCCCATTTTAAGCCTCTGACCTTTACCTGCAGCCAAAGTTTCACACAGAGGGTGTTCTTTGTCTGCAGCTACTGTGAAGTATGATTTAGTCTCCAGCACCTTAAGCCTATCTGCAATAGTCTGCAATGCAAGGATGTATCGTATACACACAATCAGAGTAGGAGAGACACAAACTGTGTACATGTAACAACTGACTGTGAATAGACCATGAGGCAGAGCAAGAAAATGGTGGAGGGACAGTATACAGGCAGACTTTTAAAAGTTTAGTTTCTAACTAAAGGGCTCAGAATGCAGAAGAAGAAGAATAAACAAGAAGGTGTTGTTGCTGTATATTCTGGTGCTTATCTGCAGGGACAGTAGTCAAGTTCTAGTTCCATAAGTAACAAAACAGTTTCGAATAGTGTGGCTCTAAAGTTCCGAGCAGTGTGGCTCTAGAGTTCAGATTAGTTTGGCTCCGGATTTCCGACTAGTGTGGCTCTGAAGTTCAGAATAGTTTAGCTCTGGAGTTCTGACTAGTGTGGCTCTAAAGTTCCGAATAGTGTGGCTCTAAAGTTCCGACTAGTGTGGCTCTGGAGTTCAGATTAGTGTGGCTCTGGAGTTCAGATTATTTTGACTCTGGAGTTCAGATTAGTGTGGCTCTGGAATTCAGATTATTTTGACTCTGGAGTTCAGATTATTTTGACTCTGGAGTTCAGATTATTTTGACTCTGGAGTTCAGATTATTTTGGCTCTGGAGTTCAGATTATTTTGACTCTGGAGTTCAGATTATTTTGACTCTGGAGTTCAGATTAGTGTGGCTCTGGAGTTCAGATTATTTTGACTCTGGAGTTCAGATTAGTGTGGCTTTGAAGTTCCAACTAGTGTGGCTCTGGAGTCAACATCGCTTTGTAAAAATTGTTACAATACACTACTGCATATCTTATGTTATTAAATCTGCACGTTTGCACATTCGGCATCCCCATGCATGCTCAGTCCTCCAATGCAGCAGCCACTTCAAGGTACATAAAAAATTTTGAGAACTGATACAGTTTAAATGACTGTGGGCAGTACCATCACATAGGCACTTACCTATGGGCTCTAGATACAATAGTTTCCCATGCTAATCTCTGTATGTCAGGTGACGTTGCTATAAATACAAATTTCATTCCAATGACCGGTGGTCAAAAGACCCCTGTATACTGGTTATCTCGAGAGCCCATAATGTTGTTAAGACATCTCTGTCTGTGGGTTCTTATATTCTTTTATTTTTACAACTAAAAAATTGATAGTGCATGGACTGAGTGATGTTGTCAGTGACCTGTGATCAATGAAGAGAAAGAAGTAGATAAGAGAGAGAGAGACAAAAAAGAGGTGTAAGCAAAAGTTATATCTGTGTAGAGGGAAAAGCAGTTACTAGACATAAGAATATGTTGAATTAGAAGGTAGAGCGACTATAAGACAATAATGACAATGATGATAATGATAAAATTATTCTGATAGTTTGTTGTCTTTCTTGGACTTGGGATGGTGTAAGATAGTTTGTCTTTCTTGTGTCTGCCAGCGTTCGGACTTGGGATGGTGTAAGATAGTTTGTCTTTCTTGTGTCTGCCAGCGTTCGGACTTGGGATGGTGTAAGATAGTTTGTCTTTCTTGTGTCTGCCAGCGTTCGGACTTGGGATGGTGTAAGATAGTTTGTCTTTCTTGTGTCTGCCAGCGTTGGGACTTGGGATGGTGTAAGATAGTTTGTCTTTCTTGTGTCTGCCAGCGTTCGGACTTGGGATGGTGTAAGATAGTTTGTCTTTCTTGTGTCTGCCAGCGTTCGGACTTGGGATGATGTAAGATAGTTTGTCTTTCTTGTGTCTGCCAGCGTTCGGACTTGGGATGGTGTAAGATAGTTTGTCTTTCTTGTGTCTGCCAGCGTTCGGACTTGGGATGATGTAAGATAGTTTGTCTTTCTTGTGTCTGAATGTGTTCAGACTTTGAATGGTGTAAGATAGTTTGTCTTTCTTGTGTCTGAATGTGTTCAGACTTTGAATGGTGTAAGATAGTTTGTCTTTCTTGTGTCTGAATGTGTTCAGACTTTGAATGGTGTAAGATAGTTTGTCTTTCTTGTGTCTGAATGTGTTCAGACTTTGAATGGTGTAAGATAGTTTGTCTTTCTTGTGTCTGAATGTGTTCAGACTTTGAATGGTGTAAGATAGTTTGTCTTTCTTGTGTCTGCCAGGGTTTGGACTTGGGATGGTGTAAGATAGTTTGTCTTTCTTGTGTCTGCCAGCGTTCGGTTTTGGGATAATGTATGATAGTTTCTTGTCTTTCTTGTGTCTGCCAGGGTTTGGACTTGGGATGGTGTAAGATAGTTTGTCTTTCTTGTGTCTGCCAGCGTTCGGTTTTGGGATAATGTATGATAGTTTCTTGTCTTTCTTGTGTCTGCCAGCGTTCGGACTTGGGATGGTGTAATATAGTTTCTTGTTTTTCTTGTGTCTGAATGTGTTCAGACTTTGAATGGTGTACGATAGTTTCTTGTCTTTTTTGTGTCTGCCAGCGTTCGGACTTAGGATGGTGTAATATAGTTTCTTGTCTTTCTTGTGTCTGCCAGCGTTCAGACTTGGGATGATGTACGATAGTTTCTTGTCTTTCTTGTGTCTGCCAGGGTTTGGACTTTACATGGTGTATGATAGGCTGTTGTCTTTCTTGTGTCTGCCAGGGTTTGGACTTTACATGGTGTATGATAGACTGTTGTCTTTCTTGTGTCTGCCAGGGTTTGGACTTTACATGGTGTATGATAGTCTGTTGTCTTTCATGTGTCTGCCAGGGTTTGGACTTTACATGGTGTATGATAGTCTGTTGTCTTTCTTGTGTCTGCCAGGGTTTGGACTTTACATGGTGTATGATAGTCTGTTGTCTTTCTTGTGTCTGCCAGGGTTTGGACTTTACATGGTGTATGATAGTCTGTTGTCTTTCATGTGTCTGCCAGGGTTTGGACTTTACATGGTGTATGATAGTCTGTTGTCTTTCTTGTGTCTGCCAGGGTTTGGACTTGGGATGGTGTTCGATAGTTTCTTGTCTTTCTTGTGTCTGCCAGGTTTCGGACTTGGGATGGTCTACCTACCCTCCATCGTCAGTGTTGGATACTACTTTGAGAAAAAGAGAGCCTTTGCCACCGGCCTAGCAGTCTGTGGGTCAGGTCTGGGCACCTTTATCTTCCCTCCACTCAGTGAAATCTTGCTCCTGGAGTTCAGCTGGAAAGGGGGGCTACTCATAATAGCTGGAATTATCTTTCATGTAAGTATATACAGACAGTAGAGTGTGTTTAGTGCAGTTGAGAATCCTTGACCTGTCAGTTCTTTGTTAGGCTGAGTAAAGAAACAACACCCCAGCATTTGAGGACATTTTTAAAAGCAATCCACCCACATCTTCCACAGACAGTATAGAGTTTAAACGCTGATGGTACCAGTGGCAATTGTAATATATGCCTGCCTTGACTTCACTGAGAGTGTTGAGTGTCAGCCAGATCCCTTATCACTCGTTAATGAATCAGTAATGGCGCTGCGAGGAGTTACCAAGAGATCTGGCTGATGCCCAACACTCCAGGGAAATTCGAGATGGGTATACAGTCAGACAGTTACTGGTGCCATCAGTACTGGAACTCTTTGCTCGCTGCTGAAGGTGGGGGCAGAACACTCAACATTCAACATTGCTGAACCCGTCTGTGATGACCGCCAGGATTTATTTACATATTTTGAAATGGCACTGAAGGTTACAGACATTTATATTTACTGAGCAAGGTCCAATAACAAATACAACAATTATAAATGTATGGGACCATAATGTGCGTCTAGAATACAACGAGTATTTGAGAAAAAGATTTGATTGGACCCTTCCATTGAGTTACACATAATTCACATAAATAAACAGAGGAGGTGCCCTTGGGCCATAGAAACATTATAAATAAGTTACCAGACCTGTCTGGTTTCAAACAACTGGTTTATAGAAACAGTTTGCCTGGTTATAGAAACAGTTTGCCTGGTTATAGAAACAGTTTGCCTGGTTATAGAAACAGTTTGCCTGGTTATAGAAACAGTTTGCCTGGTTATAGAAACAGTTTGCCTGGTTATAGAAACAGTTTGCCTGTTTGTAGAAACAGTTTGCCTGGTTATAGAAACAGTTTGCCTGGTTATAGAAACAGTTTGCCTGGTTATAGAAACAGCTTGCCTGGTTATAGAAACAGTTTGCCTGTTTGAGCCAGTTAGGCAAGCAAAAGGTGGTGGATGTCTCAGAGGCAGTGCTAGCTTTTGATACCACTCCTGATATTCAATGTTCACAACTGCTTTCCTGGGATGTGTATAGCATCTGCACACATGAGATTACCTTAAAGTAGAGAGAATTTGAATAAATCTTGGGTAAGAGTAGACTGATAGTTATCAGAGCCTGTACTACTCATCAGTGAGTTACACACACACACACACACACACCACATCTCTTTTGCTCCCCTTTGCACAAAGTTCCGCTACCAGTTTAGTTTACATCCTACAGCAGACAATATTTCCAAAGTGAGGTAGGGAATGAATAACAAAAGTCTTGCATATGGTTCTACACAACTAGCAGTGGGGGGTGTTTAAAAGTCACCTGGGGGAGGGGGGGGGGGGGGGGGGGTTGTAATTTCCAAGCAGAAAACTAAGGCTAGTTAAATTATAAATGTAAATTAAGCTGTAAGGTTCAGCTGGTCTTTCACTCAAGAAACTGACTTGATGTTCTGTTACCAGACTTGTCTATTTGTTGTCTTTATTTGTTGTCTTAAGTTACCAGACTTTTCTATTTGTTGCCTCATGTTACCAGACTTGTCTATTTGTTGCCTCGTGTTACCAGACTTGTCTATTTGTTGCCTTATGTTACCAGACTTGTCTATTTGTTGCCTTATGTTACCAGACTTGTCTATTTGTTGCCTCATGTTACCAGACTTGTCTATTTGTTGCCTCATGTTACCAGACTTGTCTATTTGTTGCCTCATGTTACCAGACTTGTCTATTTGTTGCCTCATGTTACCAGACTTGTATATTTGTTGCCTCATGTTACCAGACTTGTCTATTTGTTGCCTCATGTTACTAGACTTGTCTATTTGTTGCCTCATGTTACCAGACTTGTCTATTTGTTGCCACATGTTACCAGACTTGTATATTTGTTGCCTCATGTTACCAGACTTGTATATTTGTTGCCTCATGTTACCAGACTTGTATATTTGTTGCCTCATGTTACCAGACTTGTATATTTGTTGCCTCATGTTACCATACTTCTCTATTTGTTGCCTCATGTTACCAGACTTGTCTATTTGTTGCCTCATGTTACCAGATTTGTCTATTTGTTGCCTCATGTTACCAGACTTGTCTATTTGTTGCCTCATGTTACCAGACTTGTCTATTTGTTGCCTCATGTTACCAGACTTGTCTATTTGTTGCCTCATGTTACCAGACTTGTCTATTTGTTGCCTCATGTTACCAGACTTGTATATTTGTTGCCTCATGTTACCAGATTTGTCTATTTGTTGCCTCATGTTACCAGACTTGTATATTTGTTGCCTCATGTTACCAGACTTGTCTATTTGTTGCCTTATATTACCAGGCTAGTATATTCGGTGCTTTGATGCGACCACTCACAGCAGCACCATCTGCCAGAACTAAGAAAAAGCCAAGAGCCAAAACATTTGTGGACAGACTGAAGGAAACACATAATCGAGACAGGTATATATTCCTCCTCTGCTGAAAGTCTTTCCTCTTCTAACAGATGCTTCTGAGGTTCTTCTTGTCTACTCCATCTTCTCCTTTCTGCTCCTGGAATGCTGTGCAGCATCAGGGCAAAAAGAGATCTCTGGAACAACCCCTTCTGTTCGCTTAGTATACATAGCATAACTCAACATAACCCTTGACCCATTAGGGCCGTGAAGATGTATTGATGGAAGTACAAGCACATAAAACCCGCCATCTTTCTCTTTCTTCTACTTGATGAAAAAGTTTATGATAACTTAGTCCTGTCCCTTTCTTGATATTATCTTTGCCCTCCTCTTTTTCAACTACCCCCTAATGTTCCTTGAAGTACAGTCTTTGCAATCGAATCATGTCTCACCACGGGCCCAAACCAAGCTAGCTTGCGACATTTCACCTCTGCCAAGAGAGGCTCCTGATGTCCCACAAATTTGTATATTTTGTCTCTTACATATTTATTAGTTTTGTGTTCTAAATAAGTAATTCGTAAAATGTGCCCATCAGATACAGTACCCTTCAGTGTCTCAGATATTTCCATGCTCCATCTTTTGTGTGATCTTTTGTGATTTCATATTTTATTTAGTCTTTCCCACAAATTTTTAATTGTAATGGAACTTTATTTCTTCAGACCTAGTATGTAGATGTCTACCTAATGGTTTCTTGCAGTGTTTCTGCATCAGTTTTTATCTTTGAGACTGGTAATTTGTTTTATGCTAGTCCAAGATCATTCACACAATAAACTTGGCATTAGACAGGCCAAAGGTCAATTATTTTCCACAGGTTGGGGTGGGGTGTGACTTCAAAGGGCTTAAACCATTAACACAGGGAGGGGGGGGGTGGCTTAAGGTGCGTGAGTCCCAATGTTCCAGTAATCTGGTATCAGACGATGATCTTTTTATCAGGAGTGTGGATGTATGTACCTTGCAATCATTTTTAGATTTAACTTTTCTGACTAAAGTTCTACAGTTATTTTACACGTTTTTTTGGTTATCTTACCTCTTTAACCTTCAGAGCTATCTTTTAACCTTCTTGACTTTTTCTTCCTCTATCTTGAGCTTGTTGCAAACTTGTACACCTCCATGTCTTCTCCATATTAATAGTATCTTAAATTACATTGCGAATTTCTATATTAGCTGCAGAATTTCTTGACCTGTCATGTCTCCTAAATGTAACTTATTTCTTATTATATTTTTAAAATACATTTTCAGTGGTGAAACATATAAACAAAAATTAGAATTGTTAATAATGAAATAAATAACTGGTTCAGTGTCACAAATACTGGTATCCTGAAAGAAACGTTGGGAAATATGACCTCTCATCATTGAACTCTGAACTCTTTGAGTCCCAGAGAGTTTAGCATCACGGGCCCAAGGGGTAGTACAGAGAAACATAAAATCAGTGCATTTTGCATTCAGTGGGCTTCTAGGTAGGAAACTATAGACATATGATGCCTTCCTTGGAACTCAAAGAGTGAACTCTGTCTGTCACAGAGAATGCACTATGTGTGACTGGGTATTATTTATGTGTACAAGTCAGGGCATTATAAATGATGGAGGGAGATAAAGATTATCGTCAGGTTTCACCTATTACAGATGAATATTATTGTGGATGTCATCTGTCACAATTAAGAAGAAGAAAATGATATGATGAAGAAGAAGAAAAAGATGCAGGATAAAAACATCTAATTAATGGTCCTGATGTCCCGCACTTGCCATTGTTATGGGCTGTGATTTCTACACCTCCCTGTAATACAATACGACACTATCGTCTAGAAAGATGGAAGGGTACCAATGAAAACTTATCATAGCTTATTTGTTATCTCAGCTTTCCAGTTACATTAACTCCGTTTCACCCATGCAATTGATCTAGGTCGGTCTCTGAGAGCAGCAATGCTAATCATTCTGTTGGCGACAGCAACAAGATTCAGGAGAGGGTGATGTTGGCCAAACTACAAAGAGAGAAACACTTGCAGGACACAGATTCAGACACAGGGTCTCTGCCCAGTATAGCTTTCATCAAGAAAGGGCACACTGGGCATGGGGACAATAGGAGGTTCAGGTAACTTGATCATATTTGTTTTTTTGTTTTTTTCTTCTCCTTTTCTTTCCAAATTTAAATATGCTTCCATCGTTTCTGGGTAACCATAAACTATTTCTAACCCAAGCACTTTGACAGCATTCATGTGCTCCAGTCAGTAGACCCTGTACGGCTGGGTATCCCTTATGTGAACCAGTGAATTTTATCATATTTCAATGTACTTTGTTTTTTTGGTCAGAACACATAACAAAATCTGACCACATCTGACCTTCTGCAACTCTAAGAGTTCAAGCCATTGAAAAACTAAACATGAGAAATGCATTCACAAGGGAGCAGTACAGCAGATGGACGCTCGGCCACCAGCCTGCAGATTCTTGGGTTTGAATTCACACCTGGCAGATTTGAAAAGTCAACAAGCCAAAAATGGAAAGCAAAGGCAGATGGCATAATGTTGATCACATCACCCACAGAGTGTTGATTGGATTTTCAAAATATAGTTTAGCATCGTATGCCTCACATGCCTCTAGTATGAAAATTGTCTTTTATTTTTCAAATATAATTATAGGTACTGATAAGCACCACCAGATGTTGACAAAAGGATTATAAATCTTAGAGCAGCCTAATCCTCATCATTAGTTCTCCTTATGCCTAGTGGCACACGAGGCTTCAGACAGGACTTTCCATGCTTTCCTGTCCTGTGCAATCTTCAATGCAGTTTTCCATGTCAAAGATGCCACACTCAGGTCACTTTCCATCGTTTGTCTCCATGTTGTTTTTGGGCGCCCCTGTTTTCTCTTTCCCTCTGGTATCCATGTGAGAGCTGTTTAGGCGGGTATATCAGGATTCATTCTCATAACGTGGCCAAGCCATTTTGGCTTTCACCCATGTTGTTCATGCTGACAGAGGGACTCTGTTTAGAGCACTTATTTCCTCTTGAAGTTTCAGTAAAGTTGTAGTTACTGTAGTGCAGCCTAAGCAATATATAAATTTTAAGCTATGTAACAACAAGAACAAACAAAACAAAAAATCAAGCACTATACTTACATGTATTTTCTTCTCACAGTCTGGGCAAATGAGTCTGTTGACTTTTGTGACTTTGATGCTGTAGAGCTTCTTGATGGCCATATTGATTCATAGTTTACTCAGCCAGAAATTACTGCTAATGAAAACAAACTGGTGCAGAACCCACTTCTCTAATTATCAAGTGAATTCAGTTTATAGAGCTAGCCTCATATACTTAGACCAACCAACTCACACCATGTCCTTTGTAGATTTATTAATGATTAGTTAAATTCTGCTGTTATTATTATTTATTTTTCTTCCATTGAAATTTATATATATATATATATATATATATATATATATATATATATATATATATGTCTAATTTATAGAAACTAGCTGCTTTGGTTTTTGGACAGTGGCACAAGTGCTGCAATGTGGAAGAGATTGTGGCCTCACCACATAATATCCCCACATAGAGCAGTAGATATAACTGTTTTCAACCTTTATTGTGTGCACACAACTGTCCGGTCAAAATGAACTCGGGAGGGGGGGGGGGGGACCCACTGTTCGGAGCCGAGGCACATTTTTTACTTTTGCCGGACGGTGGCTGATGTATTTTTGTTCCATTTGTAGACTGGATATAGTTTTGTCGCCCAGCTTTTGAGTTAAATGCATGGCGTGACACTGTGAGCTGAGGATTTCATTTGGAATGTTTTTTTGACTGTGACCAATGTGGTAGTGTGAACTGTAGATTCAGAAAATGGCGCGATGACTGTCGTCGCAATTTTGGTGGTGCCCGTATGTGATTAAAATTGATCACGTGCGCAACTGCTGATCTGTTGGTGACTTCTGCTACCATCAATGATGAACTGCATTTCTAATGTCAGACTGTTTGTGTTAGCACTTCAGATGGCTACCGTATGCTTTAATGTGAGTGTATGATAGATATGCTGAGACAGCAGTCGGTTAATCTTTCCACAAGGGACTGTGATAAACATTCTGTGTGTTTTTCATTGGCACAGGAGCGGAGCAAAGATGGGGTGACCCATTTGCTATGAAGCTGAAAGTAAAACTACCAGACACAACTGTTTTTTTTATTTTTTATTTATAGAAGCTATATTATATTTATAAGATGTGTTTGTTTATAATATGTTTCTTTGAATTTGAACCAGTGGGGGAATTCCAGTGGCAGGGGAGTCATATGGGGGCCGGCTGTCGGTGAGTAGCACTGGCAATTCTGGCAACTCGCCAGCAAAAGAGATCCCAAACTCCCCCAAATTCACATCTGTCATTCCTACTACTCCACAAGCAGAGGTCAAAGGTGACAGGAGAGATCACAATGATGGCAGCATATCACCAGGTATGTTTACTTTTGTCTTCCTTGTTTCCAGATTACTTAACTCTTTGAGTCCCTAGGAACGCATCATACGTTCATAGGTTCCTACCTAGAAGCCCAATGAACACACGGTGTGCCGATTTTATGTCTCTCTTTACTACTCCCTGGGCCTGTGATGCTAAACCCCCTGGGACTGAAAGAGTTAAGGTTGTATAGATATAGTTTTCTTCTTATAGACTTGAAGATTTAGTTTAGACTAAGATGATTGTTTAAAGATTCTTATTTGAGAGTGCTGTTAGAACTAGATAAATTGCTCCTTTATCCTCTTGTGTTCTATAAACATCATCATCAGTTCCCGTTATGCCGAGTGGCACATGAAGCTTCAGAGAGGACTTTCCATGCTTTCCTGTCCTGTGCAATTTTCAGTGCAGTTTTCCATGTCAGAGATGCTGCACTCAGTTCACTTTCCATCGTTCGTCTCCATGTTGTTTTTGGGCGCCCCAGCAGACTTGTTTTCCCATCATGGGCTTCCTTTCGACTTTCACCCATGTTGTTCATGCTGACAGAGGGACTCTGTCCCAAGACCGCCGGACGTTTAAACTACTTATTTCCTCTTGAAGTTTCAGTAATGTTGTAGTTTTCCTACAGGGCAGAGCTGTCAACACTGCGCCCAACCCCCGAGCCTGGAGAACCGGGAGGCCATCTTTAGTCTGGCACCTCCCCAATGAATGTTCTATGAACAAGACTTCTTATTTTATTTTTGTTCTCTCTGCTGCTAATTTTTCAGATGGCCTCTATGAAGTTTATTGGTGCCACAAATGCCTTTTGCTGACCCATGCAGCTTGCTTTCCATGAAATGCCAGCGAAATAAACCTGGACTCTTTCTACTGCATATAACAAGCATGCTTGTAGCACATGTTCAGTATTCTGTGCTGACTCTCTACATGTTCAGTATTCTGTGCTGACTCTCTACATGTTCAGTATTCTGTGCTGACTCTCTACATGGGCAGTGTTCTGTGCTGACTCTCTACATGTTCAGTATTCTGTGCTGACTCTCTACATGTTCAGTATTCTGTGCTGACTCTCTACATGTTCAGTATTCTGTGCTGACTCTCTACATGTTCAGTATTCTGTGCTGACTCTCTACATGTTCAGTATTCTGTGCTGACTCTCTACATGTTCAGTATTCTGTGCTGACTCTCTACATGTTCAGTATTCTGTGCTGACTCTCTACATGTTCAGTATTCTGTGCTGACTCTCTACATGGGCAGTATTCTGTGCTGACTCTCTACATGGGCAGTATTCTGTGCTGACTCTCTACATGGGCAGTATTCTGTGCTGACTCTCTACATGTTCAGTATTCTGTGCTGACTCTCTACATGTTCAGTATTCTGTGCTGACTCTCTACATGATCAGTATTCTGTGCTGACTCTCTACATGTTCAGTATTCTGTGCTGACTCTCTACATGTTCAGTATTCTGTGCTGACTCTCTACATGTTCAGTATTCTGTGCTAACTCTCTACATGTTCAGTATTCTGTGCTGACTCTCTACATGTTCAGTATTCTGTGCTGACTCTCTACATGTTCAGTATTCTGTGCTGACTCTCTACATGTTCAGTATTCTGTGCTGACTCTCTACATGTTTAGTATTCTGTGCTGACTCTCTACATGTTTAGTATTCTGTGCTGACTCTCTACATGTTCAGTATTCTGTGCTGACTCTCTACATGTTCAGTATTCTGTGCTGACTCTCTACATGTTCAGTATTCTGTGCTGACTCTCTACATGTTTGGTATTCTGTGCTGACTCTCTACATGTTTGGTATTCTGTGCTGACTCTCTACATGTTCGGTATTCTGTGCTGACTCTCTACATGTTCAGTATTCTGTGCTGACTCTCTACATGTTCAGTATTCTGTGCTGACTCTCTACATGTTCAGTATTCTGTGCTGACTCTCTACATGTTCAGTATTCTGTGCTGACTCTCTACATGTTCAGTATTCTGTGCTGACTCTCTACATGTTCAGTATTCTGTGCTGACTCTCTACATGTTCGGTATTCTGTGCTGACTCTCTACATGTTCAGTATTCTGTGCTGACTCTCTACATGTTCGGTATTCTGTGCTGACTCTCTACATGTTCAGTATTCTATGCTGACTCTCTACATGTTTAGTATTCTGTGCTGATTCTCTACATGTTCAGTATTCTGTGCTGATTCTCTACATGGGCAGTATTCTGTGCTGACTCTCTACATGGGCAGTATTCTGTGCTGACTCTCTACATGTTCAGTATTCTGTGTTGACTCTCTACATGTTCAGTATTCTGCGCTGACTCTCTACATGTTCAGTATTCTGTGCTGACTCTCTACATGTTCAGTATTCTGTGCTGACTCTCTACATGTTCAGTATTCTGTGCTGACTCTCTACATGGGCAGTATTCTGTGCTGACTCTCTACATGTTCAGTATTCTGTGCTGACTCTCTACATGGGCAGTATTCTGTGCTGACTCTCTACATGTTCAGTGTTCTGAGTCCACAGTAAAGAATTCCTTGTACACATGCCTGCTGAGTCTGTGATGTCCACAATGCAGTCTAATATAATGGTCTGTTTTTTCTGATGAGGAGGTTGAATGGGTCTTCACAATTCTGTTCTGTATGGGAGGTGTTTGAATCAGTTCTGAAAATGATTGTCAAAAGGTCATATTTCTGTGTCTTGTAGCAAGTTTGGGGATATAGTAGCCTGTATTATTTCATAGACTATTTGGCACTTGATCAGTGTTATCAGTAAGATAGGACCTCCTTTACTTCCATTATAATATGTTGATACCCATTTTAACCTGGATCAACACTGGTATCTATACCATTTTAAAAAGTCCACCTCCCTGGGGATTGGAACTAATGACCACCAACCAGCAGTAAGAGCAAATAAAACAGAAGAGAAGAATGGAGGCTCGTGATGTTTTCCTGGTCACATAATTAGACATGAAGTTTTACTCCTAAAAATACTGGATGAGAAAACCATGAGTACAGAAAATAGTAAATGACCTTGGCTCCCAGGTCGACCCAGCCTTGAGTGGGTACCGGATACAGTCCCAGGAAAGTAAAGGCGGCCGGTGTGATGCTGACCACATCACCCATCTTGTGCCGATTGGTCTATAAAATATAGGTCTAGCCCTATATGCCCTATTCGCCTAAGGCGTGGAAAAGGATCCTTAACTTTACTTACAGAAAATAGTTGGGATTTATGGAAACAACTTTGTCACAGAAAGACACAAGAACATTGTTCAGACTTATGTAAATCTGTTAGAATGTTTAAGAATTAGATTAAAGAAAAAGCAAGACGAACAAATAATCAAACCGACGGAAACCATCAGAACTGAAAATTTTCAGTGACTGCTGAAGAGAAGGCAGTTGCACTTGTGGGAAAATCCTGAGTGTTGTGATGTCAGTTCATAACTCAGTTCAATTCCAGAAGCACTAGGAAGTCATAAACTGACTGATTCAGTACGAGGATTCAAAATGATGATAATTCTAATGATGATCGTGAATTAATGAGTTAATCTGCATACCTTAATTTCCAACATAACAGTTCTGCAGGATTTTATCAACTGTAAATTGCCATTCATTTTCTAATGTGGGCGCATTTTAAACCTTGACTATTGAGCTGCCTTTTTTTACTGATAGATTCTGATAGTGATGCCCGACTTCCTGGCACCGTCAACCTGAATGTGACGAACGATGGCACAAGCACTGATGATTATTTCACCCCACCTGTTTCACCTGCAAATACAGTTCAGAACACACCAAGGAAAGATCATGATGCAGGCAGTGATCAGGTGACAACAAAGTTACTAAAAATATTTTTGATAAATTTCTTGTCTTCTTCTTCTACTACTTCTTCTTAATGTTCTCTTAGCACGGACGGGCCGATTATCGGCCGGCGGATGTCTGGCCAAAAACACGGAACGGCCGATGATCGGCCCGATCGTGTTTCGCCTCAAACCGCTAAGAAATCTCCTACTTTGAAATACTGAAAGTGATTCATTCATATTCACTGCGGTATCAGCTTTACACATGGCGACTTTCGAGTGTTTGGTATCGAAGTGAAAATTATTGTTGAATTTTTTAGATAGTGACCTGAACCGCTTAAAGTATGTCTGACTCGTATGTTTCTGCCCCTAAACTTGATGTTGATAAAACATTTGAATCAAGTGATGACACTAATTCTGTTGATACTGATGCAGGATTTAGTGTTAGTAGTAATAGTGGGAATCAGATTGGGACGCTGTTGTGTTCAGACCACAGTCCAACCATGGCTCAGGGTATATCCACCCGAAGGTGTTGACACTCCGGCACATCCATTTCTAGTGCTGACTGATGGTGAAAAACACATGTCACCTAAAGATATTATTGCTGTTTCACATATATATACCTGTTTTTGACTATTGAATTGCTTACAACATTTGTAAAAAGGCCAAAGATCAATAAAAAGATTTCAAATAAAAAAAATTTTTGTTTTTAGTTTTATGTTTCAAGCATTGAAGTTGAAAATTCAAATTCATATTTTCTATTTTTAAATATGCAAATGAGATAATTTGCATATACATCAATTAATTTTAACGATATTGTGAAAATCACGAACTTCAATCTATATCCTTCAAATAGATATATTATTTCATAGGGGTCAGAATAACAGAAATCTGTCAAAAAAATTAAATAAAGTAATAACCAAATTCACTGAAAAAATGCTGCGTGTTTTTGGCTAGACCTCTGAAAAACTTCCCGTGCTAAAAGGGTTAATGTTCACTGACTGTAAACAGAAAGTTCTGGTTGTTCATTGACTCCTGAACTTTAGTTTTTGATCTAGAACTGGAGTTTTACATGAACATACATTTTTCTTCTTCTTTTTCTTCTGTGTTCATCTGAAGATGTAACTGCATTATGTCCGTTTACAGCAAGGCTGCAGAATTTGGACCTTTTGGCCTACACATCTGACTTCTGCAGGCATTTGTTGATGAGGTTAACATTCCCAGTATACATTTTTTAGATCTGGCTTGTTTGTGAGCAGACCGTTGTTTCCTTGTTTCTCAGAGAATATTCCAATTTTGAAAGAAACATCTCAAATTTGTTTCCTCCTGTGACATGCTTGTTAATGAGGTAGTGGGACAAGGAGAAATACATTTCTAGTGATATGTTATGTCATCTCTGTACAAATTAATCAGATGACAAAGAATATCTAGGAATATATGTAATAAAATTCTAGTGATGTGTTCCTCTCTGGACTCTACAAATGATCACGTAACAGAATAACTAGTATTTTTGTGTGTTAACATTCTCATTATGTGTTGCTGTCATTTCTCTAAAACTGTATCTGGTAACAGATTGTCACGTATTTTTTGTTTTAACCCTTTAGTGATTAATTAATCTTATGTCTGTACACTCATTCACAAGCCACTTGACCAGGTGATGTCATAATCTACACAGATGGCTCCATTTGTCCTGGGCTGTGGTCTGAGTGGGTATGCATGGCACAGGTGAATGGGAAGGTAGTTAAGGAAGAAAGTCAGGCATTTCCCTACCACACCGGCATAGCCTGAAGAAAAGATCCAAAGTATGCTCACTAACCTTGACCTTCCCAGTGAAGCTTGACACTCTGCTCGAAGCCCTCCAACTAGAATGAGTTGACAGCAACCAAAAGTCCAGCCTCAAAGAAACGTTCTTGTTTGTATCGACCAGGCTACGTCCAGGTGAAAAAAAAAAGTTACCAGATTAGCCATGTCTAATATGTTTGGTGGAAGCTGAATTATGGACAGGGCAGACTTACTGAATGTGCTGTGTTTAGAAACTTTGAGACAACTGATTCTGTTTCTATAACTGAACTTTATAAAAACTAACCAGTTATCCACGTGAGCAAGTCAGAGATGATTTTTGTACACTCACAGATCATTCATTTTCATAATTATCGGTAATGTTGGTAAGTATTCATAATTTGCTTCTAACATTTGTTTTTTCAATGGTAACATTTTTAAATTGTACCAGTTTGAATTTTTTTTTTCAGGAAACACCAGAAAACTGTGACCACAAACTGACCAATGGAATCACCCAGAACACAGTCAGTGAGCTGGTCCCACTTATTGAAGTCCCTGCCCCTGTCATTCGACCTGGAGGTTACCGTGCTGGTAGCTATGGAGGAAGTCGCACAAACGTGATGAACCTCCAAAGTATGACATCCCTTCACGTTTCCAAAAAAGACCTGGCACGACCTTTATACCGCAAAGACATTTTCTACAGTGGCAGCGTGTTAAATATCCCACAATTCCGGTCTCAGCCAGACATGAAAAGCTACATCACAAGCATCACTACAATCCCCGGAGAAATGGAGTTTGTAGAAGGTCCCAGTCCATCTTCTAAATTTATTAACACAGTCTGCAGCTGCTTGCCCAGGCCGGCACGTGACATCCTCAGTGAGATGGCCGATGTGTCTTTGTTCAAGGACATCAGTTTTATGTTGATATGTCTGGGCAATGTGGCAGCTTTCCTAGGCTTCTATATTCCCTTTATGTTCCTGGTTGATCGCTCAGTCTCTCTGGGTGTCGATAAAACTCAGGCTACTTTTCTCATATCCATAATTGGTGAGTTTTTTTGTTTTTGTTTTTGAAATAAAACCATAAATCTTTCTGTTGTATTTATGTAAGAAGTTGATTACAATTTTTATGGTTTGTTGTATTTTAAAAGTAATTCCTGAGTGTTTTGATTCTATATAATTGTTAAATTGTATATACATTATTTGTATATAAATATTATGTTATATTTTATGTTTATATTACATAATATAGGTTAATATATAATCATATTTTATATAAATTATATTATGTTTTATATAAGATGTAGTTTTCTTATGTTTTATATGCTGGTTGTTTCCTGTATTTTATTGCAATAAATTTCAAGACTTTCATATATTTTAAATACCTAACGAGTTTCCCATGAAGTGTGTTATTTGTGAGCAACTTATAATTTACATAACTGGTAGATTTTGTGTACCATTTAGTACATGACATTTTTAGTTTTTCACATTTTATCTAATTTGTGAGTTTCCTTGAACCACAGCCACCCAGCTGTCAGTCTCACTTCACCTGGTGATTAGAACCAAAAAATTCTCTAAATGTACACACTATGTCCGTTTTTTTAAACCTTTTCCTCATGGATGCACATATGTTACTTTCTCAGTGTAGAGAGGTTGAATATAAACTGACAGTCTGTAGCCATCTCATTTTGTCTTACTGCTGCTGCTTTTTCTTCTTCAGTATCCCGAGGCCATGAAGTTCATTGGTGCAGATATTTCCCAGCTCCATTCATATCTTGATTGGCCTTCTCTTTCCAATTGTAACTCCATATTTTTGTAGTTCTTCCTGATTTTGTTTCGTACACTTTTTTTTTCCAACCTTCTCTGAGTGGAGATTTTAGTTTTGCACTGACAAGGCGTAACCATATCATTTTGTTGCAGGCATAACAAACACAGTTGGCAGGGTAGCAATTGGCAAACTGGCAGATCTGCATATCATTGATAGTCTGGTGATCACCTACATCTCCATTGCCCTCTGTGGACTAGTCACTGGCCTTGTGCCATTCTGTAACACATACCCACTGCTGGCAACCAATGCTGCTGTGTTTGGCCTGGGCATGGGTGAGTTTCACATTAGTCTTTGTTTAGAATAGAGTGCCCCATGTGGGTGTTGGGCTCCATTATGTAGAAAACAAGAATAGACTGTAAGAGTCAAATAATTAGAAGTTTCCTTCAAATATCAGACTGCATGTACCTGAGAGGTGAGAAACCAACTGTTTGCATTTAAATAAGCCAGCTTTGAACAATGGACGTACATGCAACACTCAAGTTCTGGAGCAAGTCTAAAATTTAGAAGAGGATGAACAACCAGAGCTTTTCACAGGACTTTACAGCCAGTGAAAGCAAAGAAGAAGAAAAATAAGAAGAAAAAGAAAAAGAATGAATGAAAGAAGGAAAAGAAGAAGAAGAAGAATGAATGAAAGAACTTCCCTCGAAGTCGGAGTACATGAGGCAGGGAACAGCAAAACGGTTGTACACGCAAAACTCAGGTCCAGGTAAAAGACAAAAGTCCAAGCGGACGATTAACCGGGACCTTCCGCCGGAATTCACAGCCGGTGAACGAAGAAGAAAAAGAAGAATGAAAGAACGAACAAACAAATAAAGAAGAAGGAGAAGGAGAAGAATACATTGGAGTGTGTGAACAGTGTTAAAGCACAAATAGATCATCATTGGCTAGAAGTATTAGTGCCACAAGAAGTGAAGAAGTGTTTGCCTGGTCAGATCACTTGATACTTTATTAGCTGCTGAAGCTGGTGATGGAGTGCTTATGGGTGGGGGGGGGGGACTGCAGTCAAGCTGATGACAAGAAAATGCTCAGTAAAACATAAAATGTAACTAGAAAATATTATTATTGAGTACCTTTTTGATGAAGGCTTTGGTCAAAACGTTAATTTGCATTTGTTCCATTCTATCCATTGAGCTTCATTTAAAAAAAAAAATAAAGGACCCGTTCCCATGCCTTTAGGCATATAGGGCATATAGGGCTAGACCTATCTTTTATGGACCAAATGGCATAGGATGGGTGATGTGGTCAGCATCACGCCAGCCGCCTTTACTTCCTGGGACTGCACCCGGTACCCACTCAAGGCTGGGGTGGCCTGGGAGCAGAGGTCATTTTTTAAAAAAGTCTCTCTCTGCCAGGGAGCGAACCCACGACCTTCCGATCTGCAGCTAGCATCTAGCCGCTCCACCACAGCGACTCCCTGTTGAGCTTTATAGTCGCAATTTATCCTGTATTCAGCACTTCTGATAAGAGCAACACTATACTGAGGGCATTCTACTCACTGATGAGAAACAAGCAGTGGCAGTTTGCCATCAGATGAAGAAAATTTAATCAGTCATATGCTACTCTTACTGAAGACAGGCCATGTTACCAGATGCTACAGATTATCTATAGTTGAATACCTGCAAATCATGGACATTGATTCCCCTTTTTCTTCATACAGTTCATGCCATTTGTCCTCAGCTGCCTACATATCCCTGTCATCCATCATCATATGTGACCGCATGGGCTTGGAGAAACTGACCAATGCTTTCGGTCTTCTGTCTATGGTCAGGGGGATCGCTGGAATGTTGGGTCCACCTCTAGCAGGTCAGCTGGTCCTCACATCTGTTGTCTGTGTCATAAGTTTATCCTCACCTTTGTCTGTCTGTGGCACAAGTAGTTGTCTTCATTTGTCTCTGTTGTTTGTGTAACAAGTTTGTCCTCACCTTTGACTGTCTGTGTAACATGTTTGTCCTCACCTCTGACTGTCTGTGTAACATGTTTGTCCTCACCTCTGACTGTCTGTGTAAAAAGTTTGTCCTCACCTCTGACTGTCTGTGTAACAAGTTTTTCCTCACCTCTGACTGTCTGTGTAACAGGTTTGTCCTCACCTCTGACTGTCTGTGTAACAAGTTTGTCCTCACCTCTGACTGTCAACGTAATAAGTTTGTCCTCACCTCTGACTGTCTGTGTAACAAGTTTGCCTTGATCTGTCATCCTTGTCTGTGTAACAAGTTTGCCTTTATCTGTCTCCATTGTCTGTGTAACAAGTTTGTCTTCAGACTTACAATCTTTGCTGCTTCTTTTCTTCTCAAGAAAAAAAAAAGATTGTTTTCATGTTATTCAAACAGTAGTATGAGAGACAGATGGTAGAAGATATTATAGCCACATTATATAACACTCTTAAAGCTATCTGTCGATACACTACAGCCAACACCCAGTGTGGAGATGGCACATAATTTAATTTTCCTGCCAGAAAGAACTAAGAAATGTCATCAGTCACTGAAGTATCAACTTCACAGTGAATGTTCACCGCAAGAGATCACCAACACTCTCGCCCTCATGCTGTGCTCGTGTACTCACTCCTACAGACAACTATCTGTCTGTTCGTAAATATTTCAATGATATCTTCACACTTGTGACATCTCTTGCAACTTTTCTCTGCAGCATTGTTTCTGTCTGATGTTTTGAAGATTATGATTTGTGATTTATTTCTTGAATATTTAGTTTTGTGGCTGCTCTAACTGCTGGCCCAGGAGTTGTCAATTACCTCCACAGCGATGATTTGTTCACGGGCTTTAACTAATTCATTTGTAAAATATTTCATTATCTGTTTTAAATCCATAATTTGAAAATGTCAAAGCTGCCAATGTCAATGATTAATTTAAGAAATGAAAATTAGGAACCATAGAAATGAGATGTCTGAAAAAGGCTGCAGAAGTGACCTGAAGAGATAAAATCAGGAGTAAAATTATTTAAAAAAAAAAAAAAATTGACACAGAACCGGTAATAAATTACACACATGGCATATAAAAAGCTTTGCCTACTTACAAAGAATGCCTTATGGTGTCATACCATATAAGGGCATGTACTAAAAAAGAGAAAGATATAGAGAACAAGGCTGACCAAGAACAAGATGGAAAGATAACATTTTAGTTTGTTCAACAACATCTAATGAACACACTTGCAAACCATTTTCTCACATACTGCCCATTAGATTGCAACAATTGTTTTTAGAGTATCCATGTGCACAAATAATGGTAATATTCAGTCCATAGATGCTCGGGATGCTGAATACCAGCCAATTTCTTTAATTTTTTAGAACCATTGTAAAAAAGTACAGTAAACTTTTGTATTTTACAGTAAAAATCTGAATTTCCAGTTTCCAATTTTTTTTTTAATTCAGAGGTCTGTCTTCATAATACATTGATACGTGAGGTAAATTTATTTAATGTCATTTATGTTCAAATAAGTTGAGTTAAGCTGAGTCAAGAAAGACATTACAGCACTCAGGGCATTCCCATATGCGCTCCGTTCCCATCTTCAACAGCCAGCGCAGTGTTCCAGTACTAATGGCACCGGAGCAGTCTGATTATGTGTCCATATTGCCATTCCTTTATCTTGTCTAATCCAACTGTTAAATGATGCTCTATCCAGACCAAGCACTAAAATCATGTTCATTTCTCTGGGTCATGAATATCCCAATTTTGACTAAACAACCTTGACCGACGTCTTATTTTGGCATGAAGTCACTAAGAGTGTGCACACCAAAATCATGAAATTGCATACATTTCCTGTGACCCTTGGTTAAATCATGATGTATGTTTTGACTATTCATGTACAAATATTTAATTGTCTATTTTGTAAAAACAACAGGTTTCATGTATGACTCTTCTGGATCATATGACTTGTCTTTCTTCATGGGTGGACTTTTGCTGTTTATCGGAGCTGCCTGCCATGTTCTCCTGCATCTTCCCTCTCTAAGGTAGGTCATGCCAGATTGGCAGCTGATGATATGAACACAAAGTTCTGGCAGCGTCCTTATCCTACAAACCATTTTTATACATAAACTTGAAATCTTACCTGGAAAACAATCGACTGCAACAGTGTTTGCCACATGATTCTGAAGAAACCTAAATTATGGTAATGATTGATTGATTGATCACAAGCTAAATGGATGTGGCTGCTGAGATATGCATGGCTATGGGAAGAAAGAAAGTTGTGCCCAAAAACCTGAAGATCTGATAGTTGAGCTACTCATTAGGATCAAATATAAAATAAAAATCAGCAATTAAAAAAAAAGCTATAAAAAAAAAATTCCTTCAGAAAAATCAAGCCTAATAAATTTCCAGGGAGAGGTTATCATCATCATGTTGTAGTCAGTCTTAAAAATAAATTTTAAAGATAAAGCCTCCTCCCCCCCCCCCCCCCCCCTGTGGGTTCCGGGGCCCCATTGTAGGTGAAAACAAGAGTAGACCCACTGCCTCCCCAAAAGCATGTCGTAAGAGTCGACTAATTGGGGAGCTTCCTTTGAAGTCGAAGTGTATCTGCCGGAGAGGCAAGGAAACAACAGTCTGTATTCAAGAGAATGAGATCTGTAAAACTGATGCACACGCAACACTCAGATTCTGGAGCAGGACTGCAGTTTAGTAGTGGACGAGCAACCAGAACTTTCCGCCAGAGTGTACAGCTGGTGAACGCGAAGAAGAGGAAGCCTCCTCACTTTGAAGAACACAAAATAACACTAATTAAAAAAAAGCTAATATTTCTTTTTACTTCTTCATCTTGCTTTAAAATGGCATGTGGCAGATGGCCTTGAGAATGGCACTTACTTTTGTGGGTGCTATGTAATTTCTTATGATCGACTGTCAGGGACTATAAAAATGTTTGCTAACCTTATGCATATTTACTTTCCATGTGCAAGCTTTAAGGTTCTGCTGGGACTGACATGGGTTTCACTGATTTCAATTATTATTCAGTGGAGGACATTTTGTGTTATTTCCACTGGCATATCTTTGCAGTCAAATCATGTCTCACCGAACCAAGCTAGCTTGCGACATTTCACCACTGCCAAGAGAGGCTCCTGATGTCCTGTAAATTTATCTCTTTTGTATCTGACATATTTATTAGTTTTGTATTCTAAATAACTATTTTGTAAAATGTGTCCATAACAAATACATTCAAAAGCCTGATTTATCATTTTCATAGTAAGAGTCCAACTCCCACATCCCTATAAGAAAATAGACAGTACCAGTGATTGGTATATGTTGACCTTAACCGCGATGCTAAGTTTGCTCTTCCACATTGTATTCAACTGGGACATTGCGGCTTTTGCCATATCAAGTCTTGTCTTTGATCTCTTTGGTACAGCAGTCATCATTACATTTGTGGGAGCTAAGATATTTAAGGTTTTAACTTCTTCTAATTTTTCTTTCTTTTTTATCTGGATGTTGGTAGGTATTTATTGTGGCTTTTTACTTGCTTTTCTCTGCAATAATTTCCATGCCATATTTACCACAGACCGCCTCTAATTTTGTAGTAAGTTCATGGAGTTCAGCTTCAAAACCAGCTATAAGATCAGTGTCGTCTGCAAAATATAAATTACATAGTGGACTTCTGCCAATGGATATAGATGTTTCATTATTTTCTAGTGTTTTTATCATGGTGTGTTTATAATACATAGTGAAAAGGGTAGGAGATAGTTATACATTTAAAAGTGCACTTGTATGTTTTTTGTTACAGGTCACGCCGTTTGGACAAGGTTGCAGTAGAAGAAGTTGCCAGAGATGAAGTTCTACAAATAATTGGCTCAAAGCCACAGATTGTTACAATTGAAGAGGCTTTGTCTTCTGGGTAGATGAGCAGACGTCAGAATATATCTTATTTCCTTCAAGTGTGACATTTGCTGCCATGACTTTTCAATTAACATTTTGTAGGAAATGTAACAAGTAAAGAAATTTGTAACAAATTGTTCATATTACAGGAAAATATAGATAAGGAAAGAAATGGAAAACAATTTACAGAAAATAAAGATGGTCTTCAGTAACCACACACAAAAATCATCAAAAATTGAGAGTTTGAATGTGACCAATAATTAGTTGGGGGGGGGGGGGGGGGGGGAGGGTGTTTTTGATTTCTTTTCTTCATGACTTTGAAGAAGACAGGGTCTCCATGTTTTGTTCAAAGTTTTGTCATGTCAGTTACAAACTGGCCTTTAACAGCTGCAGAACTGATACAAAGTTTTAGAGAATCAAAGTTGCAGGAACATGATTGCCTTCCTCAACTTGTGAGGCACATGGTAGCGATGACAACCTTCAGTTGGTTGTATATCTAATCCGAACCTGGCTTCAGACTTGAGTCCAAGTTAAAGACACTCACTCTTCAGTAACTGGTCATAATCATCATGTGCCTTGTCAGATAACATCTAAACCTGTCTCTCCACAAATGTCAGTTCAGATATTGTACTGATGATTTTCCTCCATGACACTATCTGTTACCATTAAACAACATCTGTCATGGTTTACCTCTGCCCCATAAGTCTCATCTTTCATGGTTTGCCATTCCTCATTCACAGCTGATTTTTTCCAGTATTCACATAAAGACAACTCTCTCTCACACTGTCATATATTTGCGTACAATTTTCAACTTAAGTTAGCCCTGATTCTTTTTGTGGGCTTAATTTTTTCGTACAAATCCCTGTTCATTTTCTGTTCATTTTCCTACAAGTGATCCACATTTACTAAACATAGATTTATTTGTTATGATGTAAACATGTTTCAATTTTTTGTTTTCTGTTATCTTTATCGGTCAGTAGGTCCTTCACAGAACCTTACTCTCGTCACAGCACAAATGAATGTCTCTGTTTCTCTAGCAAGTTCTCCGGCCCTATGAGCTTTCACAGCCAACGCATCTTTAGTGTCTTGTATCCATCTGTTTCTCCAGCAAGTTCTCTGGCCCTATGAGCTTTCATAGCCAACGCATCTTCAGTGTCTTGTATCCATCTGTTTCTCCAGCAAGTTCTCTGGCCCTATGAGCTTTCACAGCCAACGCATCTTCAGTGTCTTGTATCCATCTGTTTGTCTAGCAAGTTCTCTGGCCCTATGAGCTTTCATAGCCAACGCATCTTCAGTGTCTTGTATCCATCTGTTTCTCTTACAAGTTCTCCGGCCCTATGAGCTTTCATAGCCAACGCATCTTCAGTGTCTTGTATCCATCTGTTTCTCCAGCAAGTTCTCTGGCCCTATGAGCTTTCACAGCCAACACATCTTCAGTGTCTTGTATCCATCTGTTTCTCCAGCAAGTTCTCCGGCCCTATGAGCTTTCACAGCCAACGCATCTTCAGTGTCTTGTATCCATCTGTTTCTCCAGCAAGTTCTCTGGCCCTATGAGCTTTCACAGCCAACACATCTTCAGTGTCTTGTATCCATCTGTTTCTCCAGCAAGTTCTCCGACCCTATGAGCTTTCATAGCCAACGCATCTTCAGTGTCTTGTATCCATCTGTTTCTCCAGCAAGTTCTCTGGCCCTATGAGCTTTCACAGCCAACACATCTTCAGTGTCTTGTATCCATCTGTTTCTCCAGCAAGTTCTCTGGCCCTATGAGCTTTCACAGCCAACACATCTTCAGTGTCTTGTATCCATCTGTTTCTCCAGCAAGTTCTCCGACCCTATGAGCTTTCACAGCCAACGCATCTTCAGTGTCTTGTATCCATATTCACAGAGGTCTGCGTCTGCTTTATTTTAATACAGTTCAAGGGTTACCATGGTGAATAGTTCATTGACCTCGTGTTTTGAAGGTCACTGGTTTGATTTTAATTTTAATTTTTTCAGCTTTTATATTATTACATAGTGAAGTTAGTTTGAAGATCCTTGGGGCTATCACTGTAAGTTAGGGAGATTGTGCTTTATGTGATACTTTTTTTTTATTTATTTAGTTTTTTTAAATTCTTGATTAATCATAGGAACCATGTAACTGAATTTTCTATGTAATTTTTAGACAAATTTTACAAATTATATTTTAGATATCATAATCTTTATTGGTAATATAATAAGTCATAATCTTTATTGGTAATATAATAAGTCATAATCTTTATTGGTAATATAATTAGTCATAATCTTTATTGGTAATATAATTAGTTACTATCTGGACCAGTGTTCTTTAAACGGTAGTCTGCAGAAATGTTCTCTTGGACCACCCAAGCTTTGTATCTAATCATATACGAAGCACATGATTCCAGTATTATCTTGCTGCATAGCCAGTGAGACACTGGACCTGACAATTTAGTGCCAGAAGTATAGACAGTTTTGTTTTATTAACTGTAGATGGTTCTATCAGACGATATACGCAGCTTTATATGTGTAAAATGGTTGAAGAACACTGACTTGGACTAAATTTAAGTGTTAACAGTTTACGTGATGTTTGTTTGTGATTGCCAAATTGCCCTACATACTACATGTTTTCATATACATATAATGCCGCTAGAGATCTTTGACAAAATTTTGCACATAAAATATATATAAAAATAATCTAATATATTAACTGAGTGTCTGCTTTTAAAGAATAAGTACAAACTAGTGCTCCAGTCCCGTGTTTAGTTGTTTGTTAGTGTTGATGTTGATGCTGTTTGTACTGTAACCTTGAAAATTTGTCCACTACAGTCTTTCAAACAATTTTTGAATGCCTGGGAATTACGGCTGACAGAAATATTGCAGATAGAAATATTACTGATTGAAATATTGATGATAGAAATATTGCTGATAGAGATATGGCTGATAGAAAAAAAAATGGCTGATAAAAATATGGCTTGTAAAATTATTCCTGGTAAAATTCTGGCTAATAGCAAGAGTGAGTTAGACATTGATGTGCTGCCATTTGAGTAAATGTTTGTTTGTAATTATCATCCATATTTTGTATTTTACGTACTGAAGAGTATTATTGCATTAACTGTCGTCAGCACCTAGGTACATCTGATGGGTTGATTTCTAACTAATATAAGTGTTGTCTGGTGCTGAAAGAGTTAACATTTACAAACTTGAGACCAGTATTAAGGGGAGGAAGAGGTTCTTCTAGTGCAGCAGATCTATAACTCCCAAGAAACGCATTATACGTTCATAGGTAGAGGCCCAATGAATGCATGATGCGCTGATTTTATGACTCTCTTTACTACCGCCTGGGCCTGTGATACTAAACCTCCTGGGACTCAATGAGTTAGTGTGGTGATGGGACTGGGTGATGGTGATAAAAGTCAGTGCGGAGCTGGAGGACCTGTTCTTCTTCTTTCTTCTTATGCCCTCGTTCTTTCTTTGCATTTAGGCTGTTAGCCAAATCGTATCATCTTGTAGCTTGGAAATGGTTTTGTTTTTTTAAACATCTGTAAATCTGTATTTTACATTTTACTATAAATAGTTTTACACATGTAGGTTTTCAGTGCTAAATATTTTACTGTTTTAAATTTTCTCAAAATTGTTTTCATTTTTATTCATTAGAAAGATCAGATTTATTCATTTGTAACTATGACATTTTAATGCTATGAGTTTATCAGTGATAACTTTTTCTACATTTTCAGCTGTGAAATGTTATCGTTGTGAAATTTTCAGTGCCAGCTTTTCTAATTGCCCTGTTTACAGATTTGGAAGACTTAAAGTTGTGTGTTGTATGTCATGAAATGTGAAGCTTTGTTTTATCACAAGTTGTAGAAGTGGCACACACTTGAGACCAGCTATGTCTGCCCCTAACAACATGCTGTGTGACAGTACTTCAGATGTGCCAACCAACTTTCTTACATTTATTTCTTATAATTAGTTATACGACTACACTGTTAAAATCGTTCAGTAATTTTGTTTAATTTTAATTTGTGTGTGTGATATCATTTAGCCCTCTGTTGTCATCTGGTTGTCATTGTTACTTCCTGAGTGGGGCAGCTATGTTGCATTGTGGGATTAACAAAGATAAAAATGGCTAAAAGAAAATGAAATACTGTTTATGAAGGGAAATTATATTGAATGATGAATTTTAAAGTGACAATGTCTGGAGGAGAGAAAAGGGGGTGATATCAGGTAGTTTCTGAAGTGAGCAAATTCCCTTTTGTGTGAGCAAAATACCATTTGTGTGAGCATAATACCATTTGTGTGAGCAAAATACCATTTGTGTGAGAAAAATACCATTTGTTTGAACAAAATACCATTTGTGTGAGTAAAATACCATTTGTGTGAGCAAAATACCATTTGTGTGAGCAAAATACCATTTGTGTGAGCAAAATACCATTTGTTTGAGCAAAATACCATTTGTGTGAGTAAAATACCATTTGTGTGAGCAAAATACCATTTGTGTGAGCAAAATACCATTTGTTTGAGCAAAATACCATTTGTGTGAGTAAAATACCATTTGTGTGAGCAAAATACCATTTGTGTGAGCAAAATACCATTTGTTTGAGCAAAATACCATTTGTGTGAGTAAAATACCATTTGTGTAAGCAAAATACCATTTGTGTGAGCAAAATACTATTTGTGTGAGCAAAATACCATTTGTGTGAGCAAAATACCATTTATGTGAGCAAAATACTATTTGTGTGAACAAAATACCATTTGTGTGAGCAAAAGAAATACACATAGAATACTGAGGTTCTGAATGTGTGAAAATTTTAAGGTGTGAAATAGAAATATGTGCGTGTGGATGCACGTGTGCATGTGTGCGTGTGTGAGTGTGTACATGCATGCATGCATGCACATTTTTTTGTAAACCTCATTTAGGTTTATAAAAATCCTAATAATTTTTTTTTTTAATATTGGTAATTTAAAAATGATAACATGGGTGGAAAATAATTATTCTGTGAGAATTTTTTTTTTTTTTTGCAAAGTG